TGTTACGAACGTCATTAAAGCGTTGTGTTGCTCACCCTATCCTCAGCTCTTAGGCACGCTTGCCATATCCGTTTGGGCAGATCCGACATCAGGGAATTTAGGCGCCGATTATGTTTTGGGATGGCAAACTCCGTATTTTCACCAGACTTGACTATAAGAACTAGCAAATTTGCTTCCGGTTTTAGCTCCTGATTACTGCATCCATTGTGAACCCCCAGTGACAGTAAGTCTTTCAGACATTCCTTTAGCCCGGCAGCTTTACATATTCCATTCTTCTAGATGCGTGATAAGTGGAAGGTATGACGAAGTGCATTCGCTCTCTGCTTAATCCAAGACCAAATCGTTCCCTCCGTAGAAAAAGAGATCTCGCAGGCTCCGCCGTAAGAGAAGAAAGATGCGCGCTCGTTCCAGTGAGTGTGCCCGCTTCTTTGGACAGGACGTACATGCTTAAACCACCTTTAGAGTAATTGCCATCCGAGAACGTGAAGAGCCTCGTTCCAGCCAGCACCTGCAATGACCACATCGCTAATGTGAACATGTCCATCCACTTGCTTATGCGTAATTGGCCCGAACCTCATAAGCGACGATGTATTCGTTGCCGTGTGCCATCGAAGCTCCATGTCGAACAGCCAGTCCTTTCGTTTCTCTCGCGAGCGGCTGTTTTAGGATGACGGTTCTTGTGTAATTTTTTTCGTGTGCATCTATGCTATGATAATTGCATCATTTACATGCATGCATATTTCATTATTTGGTCGAAGATTGATAAGTTAATCACGGAATAAAGTTACTGATACTGCTCGACGTCCAAGTGTGAGGTACTGAATCACGTCGGAGTTTCCATCACTGCATCAACTTTCAGTACTCCCCATGCAAGCCCACCAACACGCCTTCCACCTAATATTGATGGTTCCCCTATTACTTGCTCCATTCGAGCTTTTGTGGGCTGCGTATCTGCACGGTCTGAGTGGGAGCTTTTAACTGACTGGGATTCAAACACACAAGAAACGAACTCACATAGGAACATGTCGGTATGAGGCTCGTACATCCCAAGCCCAACGTTCTCCCCGTCAAGTCGTTGACGTTTCCTCGCAAGATGTTGAACGATCTGTGGATCAGCATCCACCATTTCAGTTTCCCCAAAATGATCAATCTCCCGAGCTGCTTGAATTGTCTCCTCCAATCCACCGTCCACGACCGCAAGCTGTGCTTCGCCAAAGGAATCTTCCCTCTGGGGTGGAGGATCTAAACTCAGGGCAGCTCCCCGAAGACGCGAACGTCGAAGAGCGCCGTATTGATCATTGGACTCGTGTACCATAAGTGCCACCTTCCAAATCCAGTTCTCCTCACCCACTCCCTCACGAAGGAGAGTGGATCTCCTAGCGGCGCCCCCAGTCGTACCCAGGCCCGAAGTGGACGCCCCCACCATACTCGTGTTAGCGGAGAGGCTCAAATAATATCGATCATCAAAAGGTCCAAGACCAGCCCCTCCGAAGTGTGTTGTCGGGCCACCAGTGCGATATACACCAGTTGAGCCGTACGCGTTTTGAGTGTTGGCATTCGCTGCACCTTGTGCGAACTGTTGTGCATGTGTGCGAATAGGTTGGTTGATGTCGCCCATTGGGTAAAGGTTAGGGTCTGGCAGGTCGCCAACCGGATCCCCGGGAGTGATGCCTTTGGCAGTGCAGTCCTCTCGTGCAGCATCCTCGTAGTAGTCGTCAGTAACCCAGCGTCCATCTGTATGGTATCATGAGTGGATTTACCGCAGGTAAGGGATACATACTCGCCCTTAATCATTTTTGATCCATGCACTTTGAATGCACTTCGCACAGCTATCATAGTGACACTTCTGGACTTAAGGTTGTTGGACAAACGTCCAAGAGAAATGAGATGCTCTTTTTCGGCTTGGGAGAGGGTGAGTTTTACAACAGTCGGATTCCGTCTGAAGTAGTACAATGAATCCCGGAAGCCAGAAGTTCGGGCAGCGTCGATAGACAGCATGTACTGTTTCTCGGGATTTGACCGCCATGGGCTCTTGAATGCCGGTGCTTTGAAAATGCGACCTGGGGTTCGGAACTAAGTTAGCGAATGGCTGAGGCAGGTAAGGAGACAAAGGAGCATGCCTCCTAAAAGATTCCCCAATTTATCGATTTTTGTATCTCCTTTGGGGTCGTCTTCTGTCATTAGTTCATCCTCCTCGAAGATGTAGTACTTTCCCTTGACCTTTCGGTATGATGTTCCGACGGGAAAATTGGGCACTGAGGAGCCATAAGAAGAAACGTAGAAGCAAGTAAGCAAAGTTTCTCCGACTCACCATCATCATCTCCTGCAGCACTGTCCTCACCAACAACGTCTGGATCCGGATCGTCATCATCGGCAGCTTTTGTTGTTGGGCGTGTGTTTTTCAAAACAACAGTAAGACCAGAAGGAGGGCCAATCCTCCCACGCCCTCTGCCTCTGCCACGCCCTCTACCACGTCCTCTTCCTCTCGGTGTCGACGTGCCACTAAGACCCCGTCCCCGACCTCTGCGTTTAATCACAATAGTCGGTCCACGACGAGGCGCTTCTTCTTCATCAACACCGTCAACATCAGCCCCCTCCTCTCGATCGTCTTCGCCTTCGCCATGCTCGCTCTCGTTTGCGAGGTCCTCGTCATCTTGTTCGGCGTCTTCACCCTGGTCTTGATCTTCATCCACTTCTGCGTCCTCTTCAGCATGTGATCCCTCTTCCTCTTCCTCCACCTCATCGTAAGTTTCATCGGCTTCATCATCGTCTTGAACTGGTATCGCGGGTACCTTATGACGCGGCATCACAGCTCTCAATCAGTGAATTGATAGTCCATGTTGTGTTCCCACACCCACGTGAGATGGGCTACATCTCGTATTATGTAATAACTGGTAGACGCCGCCTGACGCGGCAGAACCCGCTACTCTCCCTGCCTGAAACCTCGCTGAAGCTCTTTGAGTGATATGTATTTGGATCGTTCCAGAGATTAGATACAGAGACCACGGACGAGGAAATGGTCATTTGGACCAGCACGATATCGATTAGAGTCTGCAACACCCAAAGCGTTACATGGAAAGCAGGAGGAAGTTAAAAATGAATCGGATATAATCATCAATATAAAGGAATTTCGCCCGAGTGTTGGCACATGCGCTGAAGGCACTCAACTGTTGACAATATGACGCAGAAGCGTTAAACAGGCGTTGATCGTTGGAAAAGTCCGTGATTGAATGCTTCATTCGTGATGGAGGGAGGAGATGAAGCGGAAGTGGGGGACAAAAAACCGAAAGGCAAGAGAACATGGGGTGATGTTTCGTTTGAGATGGACAAAGCAAGTTGAGGCCTGTGGAATGCGCAGCTGCAAGGTTTTAAGAGGCAATACAACAATAAATTCGGGCAACATGAAAATTGAGGTTTCATCACATGTTCGATTACAATAGAACACGAGATCATGGAACAACAACCAATATATAAAGAGCGCGGTCTCATTGGATGAAGACGCTTACTTCAGCTCCCGTTTGGGATGCACTCGCCTAGGTCATCGCCCCTTTAGGGCACTCCCCCGGTTCTGCTTGCTTAGATCATCACCGATTTACATAAGTCATCGCCCGTTGAGGTTTCCCATACAAAGGCCCTCTTCGAATGTCCTGAGAACCCCCCTCTATAGCCCTATGTATCGGTTGTCCGCTTGTTGTGGTTGAAACCATCAAGTTATGCTTGTCCTGTCGCTCTTGCACAACCAAGGCGATCAAGTCTTTCTTCCAAAGGGCAGATCAGCAGCAAACCTCAGGCTGTCCTACAGATCGACTCGCAGTGTCCTTCCATAAAGAACCAAATGAAAGCTGCAGTGCCTTATGGCGGCCACATGCTCTTGGGCGGTGCAGTATACATTGTTACAATCGCGGCATTGCAGCCGGACACACTGAGCACGATATCAGTGTCATTAAATATCGTGCTCTCAGCTCACACATTGCGCTTATATACATCTCTGAGTGGCACAATGGGACAAAGCACCAGCAACAATGGAACCTTACAATGGTGGCAATATATTGTTGACTAGCCAACCATTGGCACAAAAGGCATCGGAATGCCATACATTTGCTTCACTGTCACCGCATCGATTCTGCTCTACACCCATCCATCCCCATCAACCATGTCGCTCAAGGAAAAGGCGAACGCTCTCAGACGAGATATTAATCACATCTTCACAGGAGGAGGTGACATCGCCATCCCAATTCTCACAGCCATCTATGTTGCATCCGATGCTCTTCCTCCCCTCAAAAGCGCTTCTAGTGGCGCGCTCTTCATCTTCAGTGAGGTCCAAGTAAGCAATGGGTTGCGATGAATCAGGAACCAGGGCTTATCACTCGTAACACACAGAAGTTCAAGTCAGATAAGAAAGAATGGAAGGAGTTTGGGAAATATGTGGTTGAGGCTGCAGCGAAAGTACTGGCGGCCACCGAATCTTATGACACCTCAGCAGAAGAGGTAGGACCTTGGCTAGAGAATGTCAAGGAGTTAGATGCGTGCGTGCTTTTGATTTTCGGTCGGTTGGCTATCCTGATTATATGACACTCCGCAGCGCGCTAAAACAGATTGTGTCCGAAATTACACCAATCATCATGAAAATGAAGAAACGGTCCAGTGTTGCCAACTTTCTATCACACTTAGTACATCCGGGAAGGATTGATGACTTCAAGAAAGTTCTCGACAGGGCCTTGACATCATTTCAAGTAACTCTTCCTTGTGTTGTTGTTCCTCTACTATCCTGACTATTCGGGGTCATATAGCTGAGAACCAGCCTAATGACTGGCGCCAAACTAACAGACATAGCAAATAACCAAAGCCGTTTAGGGAACGACTCAGTTCTGGGTGAATTACGATATCCGACTATCGCTCATCATAACCCAGCCGACGCATGCCTGGAGGGCACCCGAACAGTTCTTATCGACCATATCATGACCTGGTGTCGCAACATGGAGGACGACTCGAAGCGGGTCATGCTACTAACGGCCGTGGCTGGTGCCGGCAAGACGTCGATTGCCCATTCGATCGCGGAGAAGTGCGCGAGCGAAGGGCTATTGTTGTTGACATTTTTCTTCAAAGCAGGCGAGCAGTCGCGGCCTGACCACCTATTCAGCGGCATGGCTCGATCACTAGCAACGCGTGACCCCTCATACTGCGCCTCCATCATATCCATTCTTAAGGACGACCCGACCCTTGCGACTGCACCTTTCATAGTGCAATTCGAGAAGCTTGTGGCCGGACCCCTCCTTCTGAGGGGATCGCCTTCCGGTGGTCCTGTGGTGGTAATTGTTGATGCTTTGGATGAGTGTGAGCCGCAAGTCTTCGAATGCCTTGCCGATATACTTCGGAAAGAGGCACCGAGATTGCCTTCCAACATCAAGTTCTTTGCCACCTCGAGACATTTTGATCTTGTCGATCGTTTTCTCTCGCCTACTTTCCCCATCGAACGTCTCGGAATGGATCTCTTGGATGATACAAACAAGCATGACTGCACCATTTACATCCGTGCACAGCTGCGTAGTCTGAAGGATGCCCATCCTAGTCTGAGTGGATTCATTGAAGAAGATGCGCTAGTTCACAAGATATCGGAAAAAGCTGGTGGCTTGTTCATCTGGATTAGCGTTGTCTTCCGTTATATGAAGTTGAGCAGCAAGAATCCGAGGAGAACACTGGACAGGCTGCTCATCGTAGGTACAAACCGATCAATGGCTTCTCCTGATGGAATGATGGATGCCCTGTATACAAGCATTCTGGACAAGTGTAGCTGGAAGGATGAAGATTTTGTCCATGACTACCCGATCGTTATGGGAGCGGTCCTAATCGCCCGACAACCACTGTCTATTTCAGCGTGGGATTCAATTTTGTTGCCGTTGCTGAAGTCTTCGGTCCGTGACACGTTGTCTGAGCTTACTCCCCTCCTCTCGTGGGACCCGTATTCCGACACGCCGATTCGTATCATTCACCAGTCTTTCCGTGACTTTCTCATGGGCCAAATCGAGCCTGAATCACCCAACCATCATCATTACGTGGTGGATACGACAACGGTGAATGCGAAGATGGCCCTGCGTTTCACTGAGATCTTGAATAAGGATCTTTGCTGTGTGGGAGGTTTGGGGCTGATTGAAGATTTGGCTGAAAAGGATGAGCTGCCACATATCCCTCAAGAGACGCTTTCCGCACAACTCAGTTACTCATGTCAGTATATCGTGTATCACCTCATCGAAGTTCAGGAGCCACCAGAGGAGCTCAGTGTATCGGTTCTCATGTTCCTGAATCAGCATATGACGCGCTGGGTTGAAGTCTGCATAAGGACGGAAAGGTACATTAGTCTATCATTGTTTCCCGAGTGGGCCAAGGTATGAGTTATCAACAAGCTTCATGAGCCATTCTTAATGAGTCTCATTCACATTCAGTTGAGCGTTGGTCATTTTTCAGAGGAAGATATCCACGCATTGATTCAAGTGCTTGATAAAGCGAGAGCGAATGTAGCCTTCTTTTCAAGATATCAGGAGGCATATGAGTTGGCAAATGACTCCGTAACACTCTGCCGTTGTCTCGTGTCAAAAGACTCAGAGTCTTACACCCCAGATTTGGCTCGATCACTCCGCAATCTTAGGGCATCATTGCGCGAACTAGGACGACATTCCGAGGCGCTCCCCGTGATTGAAGAAAGTGTGAAACTCTGGCGCGAGCTTGTCGCTGTCGACCCAACATCATACACCCCAGATTTGGCCCGGTCGCTCCTCAATCTTGGTGCATCACTCACCAATCTGGGACGTCATTCCGAAGCGCTTCCGGGAATCGAAGAATGTGTGAAGCTCTGGCACGAACTCGTTGCTGTTCACCCAACATCATATACCCCAGATTTGGCTCAATCGCTCCGGATTCTCAATAATTCATTGGACAATCTGGGACGTCATTCTGAGGCGCTCCCAGTGATCGAAGAATGTGTGAAGCTCTGGCGCAAGCTCGTTGCTGTTCATCCGACATCATATACCCTGGATTTCGCTCGATCGCTCCGGAATCTTAACAACTCATTGAACAATCTGGGACGTCATTCCGAGGCGCTCCCAGTGATCGATGAATGTGTGAAGCTCTGGCGCGAGCTCGTTGCTGTCCACCCGACGTCCCATACTCCAGATTTGGCTCGATCGCTCCGGAATCTTAATAAATCATTGGACAATCTGGGACGTCATTCCGAAGCGCTCCCAGTGATCGAAGAATGTGTGGGGCTCTGGCGCGAGCTTGTTGCCATTCACCCGACATCATATTACACCCTGCATTTGGCTCGATCGCTCCTAAATCTTAACTCTTCATTGCACCAACTGGGCCGTCATTCCGAGGCGCTGTCGGTGATCGAAGAAAGCGTGAAGCTCTGGCGCGAGCTCGTTGTTGTTCACCTGACATCATATACCCCAGGTTTGGCTCGATCGCTCCAGAATCTTAAGGTATCATTGGACAATCTGGGCCATCACTCCGAGGCGCTCCCGGTGATCGAAGAATGTGTGAAGCTCTGGCGTGAGCTGGTTGCTGTTCACCCGACGTCATACACCCCAGATTTAGCTCGATCACTCCACAATCTCGCTTGCTCATTTGATTTCCTTGGTCGCCCTACCGCAGCCGTGGCTTCCATGGAAGAATCCATTTCGCTTTGGCGTTTGCTACACGTTACTCATCCGACCTCATATTCCTCTGATTTAGCCTTGTCGTTGCGAGTTCTATCCGGCTTGTTTTCACAGCTGGGGCACTATACAGAAGCACTCAATGTGGGCGAAGAGTCGAGGTCCTACTATCATCAGCTTCATTCTCAATACCCTGACGTCTATATAAATCATCTTCGATGGTCATATTCCTGTATCGCTGATGCGTTGGAGAGTCTTGGAAGGCACCATGAGCTAGCGATTCTACGCACTCTCATGCAAAACTTATGATATAAGGTGGGACATACACTACATGACGGTTGGCCGCACGTCCGCATCACAAACAAACCAAACCACATTCTCTTGCCTGGGATATACCCAAGACACGAGCCCATCGGTGCCCTAACCCAACGTTTCCTGTTGCGGTGTTCTAGGTCTACCTGATTACTTTGTTTGCTACTTTAGGCGAAAAGAGAGCCCGATTGGCGAGTTCCAATTCTATTGTGAAAGTAGACATCAGGGAAGTGGGCGAGTTACTTGGGCGGGAATTATAATGGTCGTCGCTGAAACGGACCTCCAATGTGAGCCATTGGTTCCCAACGGTTCCTTTTGCCACGCGAGCTTTCGCAATTGGAGTTGATTCTGTTTCGCCATGTTGATTATAAATGACAAGTAGCTAGGTGAGATTGGGTACGGGTCTGAGCAAACATTTTCAAGAACTTTGCTAGACGGCGGATTCCAAATCTCCACCACAGGGACTCCATGGAACCCTGTTTCTTTTCCTGCGTAGTGCCAAATCCGTAGTGTAGGACTTGGACCGAAAGCATAGGGAAATGAAACCACATGCCACTGCCCTCAAATACCGAGTATATGAGGGTAAATCGGATGTCGAGCAAAATGCGATCTTCGCCGAGAAACAACTGCCCTAGGATGCCTCACCAAAACAAAATTCGTAAGGCCTCCTTGCGAAATAAACTATCACGGGTGAGAACTAACGATCGTCTGTGACTCTGAGAGGAGCAGCCGACTGCATACATTTGAAAATTCATCTCCAAGTCGCCTTCAACTTCCGGCTTGTATCCAATAATAGAGCACCCTTTTGCACGGCAATTCAGTCTAAGCCCACAAGACCCGCTACAGAGTAGCGGGAATTACGACGGGACTGTAGTACTAGTAACACCGGTTCCCTTCCTCATCATATCAGACGATGCTCTTTTGTGCAAGAATAACTCATTCAAGCCTCCCAGCACCTTATTTATGGACTACCACGCCCCTACACCCCTCCGACGGATTCCACGAACGGTTTTTGGTGCAGTCCCGAAACCCCTCTCTTACTGTGCAACAGATCACCAAGAAGGTCTTATTCGCATCGAGAGCTTTATTTAAAGCCGATATCTATAATTTCGGCAGATGGGACTGGTGAGTCGCAGAGTATAAACGTAAGGCCCATCAACATCTTGAGTTCCTGCGTTCGTCTAAACCATCTAGGTGATGGTTAAGCAACCCCCCCGTCAAGTCCACTTCACAATCAACCATGGCAGCCATTTGTTGAATTCTTCGCCGAAAGCTGCGAGTTGATGCCCAAGGGAGAGAATAACTGATCAGTAGGATTGAGGCTTGTTCCTGCTTGGTGCTCATCCTTTTAGGATGACTGCGTAGCTTGTGTTAATTCTTCGTCCCACTCAGCTGTTGTAAATCTGTCGGGTAACGACCTTGGTCTGGACCCTCAGGCGTGGCTGAAGAATCGGGCTTCAACGATTCTGCCTTGGTCTCAACGTGGATAAGTATGGATCACTTCTGGCAGATTTAGAACGAACTCTGCGCCACTCTCTAACCAACACCAACAATATTACAGCACGGAACCTGAGCTACCACGACCACTCCATGTCGAGGAAGCGCTCTTTCTCTCCCTGGGAACTCTGATCGCAGATGATCTGACGCGACTCCCTCTTCCGCCAATCTTACATGATGAGGACATCATTACTCGGTGTTGGTATTATATACATAGAGCACTCAGCGGGCGATACGACTTATCCTCCACAATTTCTGACAATTCTATGTTGAGGATTTCCTTGGAGTGCAACAGAACATTGGGACTACATTCACTGCATGCCCAATTTTACACTAGGTCATCCTCATTTGAGAATTTGTGAGGTATAAGTTTCCCTGTATAGCAGGGGAGTTCCATGCCTCTCCAGCAACTGAGAAAGAAAGATGTCGCGACGAGTGGCTTTTAAGCCTACAACGCCGCCTATCAACAAGAAAGACAAAACGGGAATAGCGGAAAATCTCTGGCGGCTGAGGGTCCGTGCGCCACAATGGTGGGACGTCAACTCTCTAACACCTTCGATGTTGGCCACTGTGATCCGAGAGTGTACAGGTGTCCAGGTATGTTGTCTCTGTGCTGCAAGAGCTGGTTTCAGTTCAGTCCGGCGATCCCTCTCCTACTCTGCATCACGAAGCTCAGCCCAGAATTAGACTCAGTTCCAAACCATTAACCCAGTCCCAAAAAATACGCCGCTCTGTCACACCTTTTCAGAGACTAGTGAGCCCAGACTCTCCTGCTTATATCGTCCCTATCACTCGCACCAAGTCATGACCATGGTAACGAGATCCTATAATCGCGTGTCACTGGTTCGCTTTTGCCCAAATTTTTTTGGCCTTCCCGTGATTTGGTATCCAAAGAGGTGTGGCACGCTTTCTTTTAGTTGGTCTAACGTTCGCATTCCCGGATGCCTCAGAGTAACATAGTTTTCTTCAGAATTGAGCTCAACCTAGACTCGCTCTGCCCAGGTCTTGTTCTGCACCGAGCGAGCCATTACTCAATGCACACTCGCTTTTTTCTTTGTGTGAACTCACACAAGTGAACTACAATTAACTGCTCATTACTCTCATCATGACTAACGGTGTCTGCCCTACAATTTACATTGTGCAACTTTCCAGAGCTCGCGGCCTTTCCTGAGAGCAACAACATCAAGCTTCCAAAATTATCGCACCTCCCAAGCTGGAGGTGCGTGATTGTTGTGACCATCCTCCAGGATCTGTTTTGTCCTGTCGCTGTACTGGTTTCCATATCACACCCTATCGATGGTCCTCGGGAAACTGGTCCTCGTGTTCTTCATTCGGTTCTTCGTGTGGTTCTCGAATTAACCATCTTAGAGATTCTCCCCTTACTACGAAAAATCCGGCCACCTCGACGGCGAAGTAACTGGCCAGGCCTCGTGGTGTGGTGATCATTGCGCGAACGACTCGCACAGCAGAATGATTCCACGAGTCTGGGACGTACCTTGGCTTTTGTTTTGTTTGTTTGTTATTTAGGTTGCAAACTTCACGCTGCTCGCCAGGGAAGGGGTCTCGAGAAAAAAGGAAAATAAGTCCGATCTGGGTGCACTCGTCCTGCGTCCGAACGAAGCCCAAACCATATTCCCCTGGTGAGTCGTCACTTACAGATGTTCGGATATTGTGTTGCCAGCGTCGGAAATCCGCTTCGCAAAGCGGACGTTATCTCGCGGGATGTCCCTCCGTTGTCTGTTTTTCTTTTCGTATGCTCCGCTCTCATTTATGAATCCGCCTTCTTCCTTCCCCAGGAGGTCCGGAAGGTTCAGAATTCCGTCCTCGTCTCGTAGGACGCCTCGGTGGTCGCAGTACAGAGGGCAATCCATGAGGATGTGGGTCCGGTGCGTAGTTGAACAGGTGGCTGAATGTTTTGCGGCTTCGGGTCCTAAAGTGTTCGGAGGGGTGGATTTGTGGTTCGATGCAATTGCATAAATAGTATTCCGATTGGACGGAGTCAGTGTTCCAGCATCGAGTCCACTCGTTTTTAAGTCGATGTTCCGCATGAAAGCTGCCGATGATTCAAAAGGGTAGTCGGAGTGTACCTTCTTTCACCAGTGAGTCGGCAAGGTCATTCCCTTCAATGTTTTCCTGTCCTGGTACCCATTTGATTTCAATTCGGCAGAGGGGATGTTCATCGAGTATCTTAAGAATAACTTCGCGAAAGCCGTAGGGCTTTCTGGATGTCTAGGTTGCTCCCCTTTGGGAAATTGTTATTGAGCCAACATACGAGGTGTTCTGAGCCTTGCGCGAGACCCTCCATTTCTGCCTCATAGACCTCAACCCTCGCCCCCGTGCCTCCCTTTCCCCTGCGAACAACGTTACCGCAGCGATAGGCTGCGAACCCATATCCCGATCTTCGGACGCCCTGGTCAATCACGAGGGACCCGTCAGCATACAAATTAATGTGAGACTCATCCAGATTTCTTCTCTTTAATCGTTTTTGTGTTCCTTTGCCTGTAACTTTCTCGCTGATGCTCCTGGTTCGTTTTCCGGCAGTTCTATTCGAAGTATGTCGTTTAGGTCGTCGATGGTTCTTGCCCAAGGTGGTTCTGGCCATAGTATAGTAGGTTCCATTTCTACGTCTATTTCTTTCGCCATTCTCCATATTTGAGTGCAGTTTTTGTCTTTTTCTTTTCTTTCTTTCTGTTTTGGATTTTTTTAAGGAGCGACTCAGTCTCAAGAGCGAGTGAATTACCCTGACCTAAAGAACGATTAATTACAATGTAATATAGGAGGCGAAAGGGACTGTGAATTCAGATGATCGTGACTATACACAGTTACATGTAACAGAAACCACGTGCTGATCACGCGTCCAATGAAGATCGGATCATAGCCGGTCTCCCAACCTCATCTCACGTTTAACCCCTTCGTTTTTTGACATGAATATGGATGCATCTTCCATCCAGCAAGGAACAATGCATTTTGCTCACAAAGAATCGTCTGGGTCGACTGCAACACTGCTGTTCCTGCTGCTGTTGACAGAGCCTGAACTACCACGACCGCTCTGTGTCGAGGACGCGCTCTTCCTGTCACTGAGAGCTCTAATCGCAATTGATCAACTCCCTCTTCTGCCGATTGTACATGATAAGGACTTCCGAGCCCGGATCCTCACGAAAGGGCAAACAGAGTGGAGAGGCGACGTGGAGATCCACCGTTTTGCTACGCCACTGATCCTTCAGAATTTCAGCCCTAAGTCTGACATCTCTATGTATCACTTGTCGAGGACCTCCTTGGAGTGCAACAGAACATTGGGGCTGCTTTCACAGCTCGATGGTTTGCACCACTTATACAAACGCATAAGTGGAGTAGACCTTCGCGAGGCCCCAGACGCCAAATATCATGGTGAGGGATAAGATAATTTCCACTCTTTTATCCACTTGCTAACACCTTCCATAGCAAATCTATTCGAAGCGTATATCGGTGCAATGAGTCTCATTTGTGGGGACTCCGCTTTCAGAAATTTCCTCAACGCTGTTTTCCTGCCCATTCTCACTTGTGCCGCCCAAACTCTCGGCATCTACCACTCCTACGTTCCTCGACCCTTGCCCATTAGCGATGGTCTTGATAATCTGGCAACAGAGATGTCCAGCGTAGAAGATGGATCTGGCGACAAACCCGAACGAGAGAAGCTCGCTTTTGAGACTGGATGCCACGAACTTGGGATTCTGCCGCATTTGCGCGTTAGGGACACTGGAGAGCAAACTTTGGATCGCCGATTCAGGGTAACCATTCATTGCAGAAAAGAATTGATTTCGGCTGGTTGTGGCCCAACTCAACATGCCGCACAGGCGAAAGCATACAGGAATGGAATAGCAACCTTGGCTCAGGTCAGCGGCTAATATTCATCGACTCGCCCTGTTTTGAAGTCTGATATACTTTCTTCAGTTGGAATCATTACTTCAGGTCCACCTGCCTACTGTGGGCCAGCTGGAAGAGGGGCTGGGCAAGCTCAACGGAGGGGCGCAGCTTCCTAGAAAGCGCAATGTCGCGAACGCTGGAATGTTATGTCATGGCCAAAGGCTCGGAAGCGCTCTAAGTAAGCTGGGCTGCATTTCCTTACCGGTGAGCTACTGACGCCGACGGTCTATTTCCTACCCTGGGTTAGGCTGGCACCGGATGCGGCAATTGGAATTGCAACTCGTCATCATTGTTATAGCACACACGCACCGACTTCATGTTCTCACACTGTTTCGTATTCGTTTGAAGAATGATAAAGCTTGAAGATAGAGGATGCGAATTCGAGATCCCGCTTCGTGGTGCCAACTATTGCATCCTTTCTATCATCGGCAGTACCCACCGGCTGCGACGACGTTGGGTCGGATGACTCAGGTACACTCATGTCTATGCATGCGCGCGATGGTACATAAAGGTTCGTGCTCGGGTCGTAGATGCTCTGTGCACTGGACGTTGAATAAAGATTATTACCGTACCCTAACAGATTCGTACGGCGGCGATAACTCCGAGCCTTCAGGGAATGGTTAATAGGACGTCGTTGGCATAGACTCTGGGATCTGGTGCACTCAGCTGGTTGGAATCAGGATTACCCGAGAAAAGCCTCGCACGTCGCCTCAAGACCACCCGTCACCCCTCAACCCCAGGACGGCCAGAAGTGGCCGTAGTCCCTTGATCGCGACCAGTGTCATCATGGGGCTGGGCCATCCGAGCTCTGACGACCTGGACCGGGATACTGATAACCTACCTACCACAGGCCGCTATACTGCGCAGGAACTACATGCCGAGAGGGAGTGACTTTCTGTTGCGAGTCCCGGACCCGTGCAAAAAATTACTACTTTATAAAGTGTCATCGCGGCTATCCGAGTTTTTAGGAATTGAATGTACGTTTGTTACGATGTTCTCGTTCTCCGATGTATCCCTATATATTGAACCTATAGTACTTGTGCGTGCTCGCACCTGCACGTGTATGGTGGCATCTCGTCCTGGATGGAAGGCAAGACCTTTACTGTAACTCGGATGCAAGATGCACGGATCATGCCCGGTCACTGTCGGGATCATCAACGATGATTTGCATATATACGTGGTTTTACGGCAGGCAGCAGGTTGCCCGCCGCTCGCTCTAACGAGTAGCCATAAGGAATTCATGCAAACCAAGGCACAGAGCATCTAAACATTCTTACCAACTGTTGTCTGATTGTCTGATTCTTCGATTTATGTTGGAACACATTGACACCGTGTGGGGCCGACATTGCTCCAAGTCCAGAAACAAAGAACGAGGCAACCAGACGAGTGGCAAGCGGTTCCTAAGTTGCAGAAGCTACCATACCACTTCTTTAATGGCCATGCGTTGATAGTTCTTCCATTGCATGAATGTATGAATATCCGCTAAACTGCATAACAGCAAACGGGCATACCATCATGAATGGATTGTCCCTCCAGTCCATAGCTCGCCGCCTAAGACAACGGTACGAAAGGGTAAAAATCATTCGATCCCTCCTGGAACATGGACAGCCAAGACAGTGCAAGCGTTCCACCGCCAGCCGGGTCGCACCGGCCTTTGGGGAAGTGTCTCTAGAACCAGACACGTTACAATGTGCTTCGTAGTCAACATATCCCTGGAGTTCAGTAAGGCCATGAGTGCTTACCCATGCGCTCGTTCAACTCTTTTTGAGTCCTTTAGCAAGAATGAGCTGTCACATAAAATTAATCGAAACCAACACCGAGTGAGACACGTCCACATCAGCTTCTTTCGTACTTTACTGCACTATCCACAGTCAATTTCTTGTTGATCTCAGTAGGTCTGGATGCGAGAGGTGACTGGGGAATTATTTGCTATCTCATGCAATGGCTCTTTACAGATGTCGACTCCGAGGACCAACGATTCAACACGAATATACGGGCTCTCTGAAGACGCATACTTCGCTCGGGCAACGATTTGCATGAGTTCCTTATGGCCAATCCTTAGAGCCAGCGGTAGACATCCTGCTGCCTGCTGGAAAATCACGGAAGGGTTGCAAAATACTGAATATGTAAATCGTCATCGACGATCTCGCGATCTTTCCTCCGGGGGGTTACAGTAAAGGCCTTGCCTTCCATGACTTCTGACATGCCTCACGCATCCAGAACGAGATGTAGCCATACACGCGCTAGTGCACCTGAAGCATGCATTTTATATGTTTAATGCATCAGTGAACGAGAACATTGTGATAAAGTGAAATTCCTAAAACTTGGATAGCCGCCATGACACTTCATACAGTAGTTACCATTAAAAATCAATCAACTGAGGACGCCGGGTCGATTCTGGACCCTTCTCGCGATACTCCTGGGTTTGGGAGGTGAATGTCATGATGACTACGCCCTGGGAGGGCCAATGGTGCCATCCTCTGCCTGCGAGCGCCTCTCGATTTCCTCGCCTTTTCGCCCATTTTAAATCCGGCATGAGGCACAAGTGAACAGAAGCGTTTCGTATGATTCCAAATCCTCCTCTCGAATTTGCCTGAAGGTTTTGGGCGAGAGGCCTGCAAGCCAGATATCGTAGGCGATGGCGTTGTCGGAAAGGTCGAAACGAGGCCGGCCCTTGGGCCGCTCCCCAAAGACTACGGCAGGCTCAGGACAAGCCAAGGCGAACACCATTCGGATAACCGGCTTCGGAGGCACCGTTTCCGGCTCCAGAGTCAGTTTCCTTTTCTTTTTCTTTGGCTCTTCAGTAGTTGACTCAGACTCAGAGTCAGAGTCAGAGACGGCCATCTTCTGTCACTAATTTCCCGTGTCGCGTCGTATGTTTGCATGACCAGCAGGGCCGCAACCAGTTCACCACGCCACCCACAATGGATGCAGTTTAAATTTGAATGGTTAGCCAGATGGCGCACCGCGTTCCCCTGCATGTCCTTCATAAGTTCATAGGCTGCCTCAGCCAAAAGTGGTTCGGACCCGATCAATTTATCGAGTTCAGCAGTCGCTCCGATGCAGAGTCGCATATGCCGTTTCACTTGTGCATAGCCTACGTCGTCAGCTGGAGAGTTCTTGTTAAACTCCAGGGCGAAACGTGCAGAGAGGCAGGCTAGGGTACCAGTCGGATTGCTATTTCTCAGCGCAGTCGGACCGTCTAGCAGCTTCTTCTTAACATATTCCATAATTACTGACTCATATTTGTGTTCCCCTGGTAGATTGTCCCAATAAGATCCAAATCTATTCGAGGTAGTAAGTGAGCCACTCTCTAAGGGGATGACTGTGGTGAACATACAATGGGCAACCGAGATGGGAAATCCAATCAATTTGTACTACTTTGTCTATGGTCACGGTATCCTTCGATGCTGAGTACGCAATGTCGTCAAAACTGATTTCGGAGATCGGATCCAGGGGGCAGTTGTCAGTTCCCTGACCCGACCTGAAGGATCTGGAAGATTCCGTGGGGGCCATTTATTGAAGCATGCCGCTGTCGAAATGAACAGCCAAAATATTGGGAGCATTTGGAGCTGTCGTAGGTATTGACGCAGCACCATGAATAGATCCCGGCGTTGCTCTGGTAGGTTATCAGTGAGGACAGGAGCCTCATCGAGAGCGAGGATGACCAGAGGCCGTCATGGACCTTGGTGCGATTCCAAAACCTTGTGTTCATCGATGAAGCGACAGAGCCTTTCGCCTGCCTCTACCAGGTTCCAGCTTTCGCAACCATACTGTCCATGTTCAGGCATATTCTCATGATCTACTTGTCCGCTGTTTTCCACAAACTCGAGGAAATCGTCATTGTCACAAACGTAGAGAAGGACAGGAAATTCACCTTGTCGGTCAACTCAATTACCTTGTGGTAGAAAATCTCTCGATTGGGATTCGAGGTGTAATATGATTGACCTGCGGTCATATGCTCGCGGAAGGCGGATGCCAGCCTCTTTTGGAGCTCTATGACCAATGGCACATAGTCTTCCGGCTTTTCCTTGCACAATTTTCTAGCAGACTCCTCATCGTGACGGGATAACTCATGTATATCTGTAACATCATTGACAAGTAATTTGGGGAGCAGTTGGAAGATAATCACCTTGTTTCTCTGAGACAGTCTGCCAATCGGTCGTCTCAGAAAAGAGAAGCCAATTACGCAGAGTCCTATCAGGGAACCCTATGGAGGGTTCGGATTGTAATCATGCCATATGTATAAAGAAAAGGCACAACGGAAAACCTTGGCTGCCCCACAAACGTAGGCACATGGGCACTGTTATGATTTCCTTGCCAAGTTGATCCACCATGCGAGATTTGCCGGTTCCAGATGAATTCACGAGGCCAGTTAGCCTGGCATAGGGAGATCTTTCCAGGGCAAGGAAATCCGCGATAGTCTCAAGAAGCACACCCGCGGGGTTGCCTTTGAATGCACTGTCCCATGCGAGTGTGGTAGCTGTTAACAGAGGAAATCGGTAAAAAGTGGAGAAGCTTCGAATTCACTGCGTGCCAAGAACTGTGGTCGAATCGGTTGCTTCTGGATCAGGTTTGAGAAACGCCTCTAGAGACAGAATATGACGATGAGAGTGCTTGGCGTTAAAAGGCAGAAGGCAATATACCATTGTTGAATAATTTGCTTCAGGGCACCTGATTGTTTGCCATACTTCTCACCAGCTCGATAAGTTCTCGCTCAGGCTGCCCTCCGTTGCTCTTGACATAAGCATCGAACTCAGACTTGTCCCTAAGCCATTCCTTTATTTCTAAATCCCCGGCACTGTTGAGAGCACCGTAGACGGCGGTCCAGGGATAATGCAGGCTCCGCACATCATTGCCGGATCGAAAGAATTGTCCAAGAGACACACAAGCACGACCAATAGCGTTCTCTAAGATTATCTTTGCCATACGGTACTCGGGGGGGTGCAGATGAATCTTTGTTGAAGGTTCAGGTCAGAGGATCTACTAGCCTCGGATATCGCTGTTCAAGCTCTATCTTCCTGCCTAATTCCAAGCAATGCGAAGCACAGTGTGCTACCACGCGAAGAGAGTGGCGAAGGGACAGCCCCGATGACCTGAGATTCCAAAGCGACCTGGTACAAATATGTTCACAAATGAAACGCAATGAGAACGGCAGTGAGTAACGCTGAACGAAAATACCAGAGAAAGATCACAACCAACAGGAACCTGCCGAAGAATGAAGAGGAAGCCTTGGCATGAGATCCAGCTTACGTAACCGATGTTACAACAAACCTCCACCCTGCTACAAAACTAAAAGAGAAAAAGCACACACAGAGAATGGAACTGCATAAGTGGTAGTCAAAGAAATGCACGGCAGCTAGGATCATGTCAAAAAATGGGTGTGACAAGCGATACATCGAAGCGCAAATGGACGCATAGGCTTATCCCACAACTCATGCATTCTTTTATATGGTAACATTCCCTTCAATTGTTAGGCTTGCTTCTCGATCCATTTCTGATGTAAATCGACCAATTTCTCAATGATAAGCTCCTCTATCTCAGAAACTGTTGCAGAATGCGAAGCTTCAGCCCCAGGTTTCTTGAGTCGTATCCATTCTTCACTGAACGTCCTTTCCCCCGATGGCGATTGCTCTCCAGATGACACAAAAACAACTTCGTACTTGCGCGTGTGAAGCATATTTCCGATAACCACTTGGTGCCCATAGCGTTCGAGAGACTGCTGTGCCTTCGGTATCAACAGCGAGCCATCAGTTTCAAGCTAGGGAATGATTTTTAATCCGAGTTGAATGTGAATCATCGGATTTTAAGCAGTGGCGTACCTTGAAGGACACAATAAAACCATGGGGTGTCCAATCTTCCCGCAATGGCTTCAGAATCTTGGGCACCTGGTCCATCTCAATTAACAAGCTGCCCTTTCGTGACTGAATCTTATGCTCCGACTGGGCAAATTCGATCTCAGGATGAGTGACCAAAATCGTCCACCTCAACAAAACCCAAACTGACCATTTTCTCTCGTGGTAGATAAAAGTCGCTGACGGCTGCTGCGAGATAAAACAAGGCATTCCTCTTCATGACCGCCAGCTCCTCGCTCATCGCCCTTAGCAAGAATAGGTACTCATTGACCGTTACGAACGTCAGAGTATGCAACATGCCTCTGCTAAGCGCATCCTTTCGTGCACGCAAGACTTGAATAAGGAATTCTCTTCCTTCCGGCCTGACTAACACCTCTGGCGAGGACGAGAAAGAAGGCGAAGAAGATTCGCTAACATCTAAGAAGTCAAGGAAGGGGTTGGTGCTGTGGGAATAGTGACGGCTAAACGGCTGCAATGAGAATTGCCGGTGCATGAAAATGACCGCATATCCAGCCCGAAGGAAATACTCTGCCGATGTTGCGCCTCTCGTCCCTGAAACAGAACATACACATCTCAAAAGAGGAAATTATAGAACGGCTCCATCACTGACCCGCACTAAAATTATCGAGAAACCGCACACTTTCGATGCCATTATTAACATATTTGACTCAGACGGGCGAAGTGATGCAACGAACGCTCACACATTAAGCTCGAGTGGTACTGTAGTCCCACCACTCTAAAGTAGCACATCCCAATCGGCCTCATTCAGCATTGTCGTTGTTGCTACAGCATAAACGATCGAACCGTGATGAGAACTACTTTCCGATCTTCAGCCATATGCCGATGGATGAACTCCCGGGTGCTCTCCACATCATTGAAAAGAGTGCTGGGTTTCGGTTGAGATTGAAAATACTCTTCAGCAGAAAACTCTTTCGACATTGAGACGGGAGAAAAACCGAAAAGGAAACGCCGCAAGCGGCAATCCCCGACAGGGGCAACACGCACAAAGTTTTCGATCTTCTAAAGACCCTCTGATCCGCTCTGAGAGTTATGCTCTTCTGGCGCGTAGCACTCATGTTCGGCAGGATTTTCGTAGGTGGTGTCAGTGTGCTCCGTAATTTGAAATCATCTTCTGACCGACACCGAACAGTGGCCCCCGACTATAGTACATTGAGATCAACCCTGGAGACGTCGGGCAATTGAAGATGCGGAAATTGTTAAGCAGCGACGTGATCGGGCCCTTGTAGCTTCAACTAAATTACCGCCAATTTGCTCAGTCGAAGCACTTCGATGTGTCCACGTTTACCTTGGCATGACACTGTCGACGACAATCGCTGCAGTCAGGGATTTTATCTTCAGCTCGCGGAACTCATCCCAAACCATCGGTTGCTGGCGTGCGCTATCGTTAAATCTTGTTCATGGACGAAGTTATGTTGTCTTTTGTCGACAGCATCACGATTGACCTTGTTGGGCCTACCACCAGAAGGTAGGCTTGTATATCCACTTGATGGCTAATAAAAATAATTTGTCATCTCGATTCTGAGAATTCGGGTTGTGCGTGCGTGTTAGTCGTCTTGACCGACGCCTGTCATTAACATGTGTTCTGACAATAGCGTATAGACAAAGCCATTGATCAGTCAACCCGAGATGCCATTGACTAATGACAAGGCGTGTTGGGCTCAAATGGCTTCAGACATGATTAACACAAGTCTTCAAGGTCATGGTGTTGGAGCGGAATCCAATGGCTCAACGTGAGATTCTTGATGAGATGAATAACCTAATTTGGCACTTTTCCCCATTTCTCTGCCATAGGTGAATCCGGGATTCTAACTCGGCATTCCATGCCTTCTGCATCTCAGCAGAGTCAAAAGACTTTGCAAGGTTCGAGTTTGCAGGTACGGTGAACAAATGTCCACCAGATGAAGAGAGGTTTGCAGCTGTGACTCAATGGTAATTGTGTCAGTTGGAATAAAGGATTCTGTGTTCTTTTGCTTGCAATGTTTGTTCTCATGCCATGTAACGCAATACACACGAACATTGCTACGGCTCAAAACTTCATAAGGGCGTCCAGTAAAAGGGCCTGAGCCCTCTGCTGCAGCCGCCGGAAACGCTATCGTGACGATCTCCACCCGAGCCCCGGAAGCAAATCTGACAATCTCCCCTCTTCGTTCAAGTTCACCACCCTCTCTTCCAACAACTCGCGATGAGTAAGGCCGAATCTGTTACCCCTCCGCCCGATAACAGCAACCCAGCCTCCCCATCCCCTACTGAGCCTCAAAACAATGGCCATGGGATTTACTCCAAGAGCAGAAACGCCCGTGCTCAAGCGCGTCATCGCGCAAAGAGAAAGGCTTACATTGAACAGGTGATATATCCCCCCCCTCTAAAACTGGGCGCCCTGTTTCGCTAATGGCGTAAAAACTTTGCAATCTTCTAGTTAGAAGAGTCAGTTACCATGCTGCAATCAACTTTAGCTGCCCAGGAATGCAGTGCGGCGGGACTATCAACTTACCGCATGGTTGAGCTCGAGAAAGAGAATGCTGCCCTCCGTCAGGAGATTCTTCATCTCCGTAATCAGATAGCCGACCTCACTCGAGTTACCCCTCAGTCTCACCAGCAAGGATCACAACATTTTCCAATGATGACTCAACTTCTTTGCACGATTCGAAAAGGAGGAAGCGATCTATTGAAGAATACTTGGCGAGTGCCTCGGTTTCCTAATTTCTTCCCTCCGTTCATCCAATATGGGCCCGTTTGGTACCAGTCAGTGCGTTGGAGGAGACCACTTCCCCCCCCCTCCCCGCCCTACTTCTCCCACTTTTACTAACCTTCCTCGCATCGAAGAGCTTCCGATCCTAGTTTAATGTTTTTTTAAACAGGGGGCTGACCCGTCTGTGACCCTCAGTGGACGCGATGGGAACATCATCAATCCTGGTGGTTTCCGCGATGATGCTCGCTCTGGTCATTCCATCACTTCTCCGATGTGCTCCCCAGGGCTCGGCCTCAGCTGCAACTATGTGTGCCTCAAGGCGGCTACTCCCGGAGGGATCATACACACCCAACAGTGTAAGCTCATTGATTAATCGGATTGGTTCCCGATTTATTCTTGCATGCGAATAATCCATCTGTTATCAAGGGCCATCATTTCTCTGGAACGAACACTATGGCTTATACATCTTACCACGCACAGAAATCCCTGG